TGATAAGGCCAGCACCCCGCTGACTGTATGCCACTGCTGGTCCACCCTCGCACCACCCAGATTATTGTCCTGAATACAAGAACTAACTAGTTATTAATCTCCCCAAACAGATTTTAAATGCATGTAGAATTTTATTTTGGAAATAAACAACTAAGAGTGAAAAAATAATGACAAAGCCTAATATAAAATGATTTAGTTGTTGCTGTTACTGTGCTGGCTTGGTTACAGCTGTATAACCAGCTGTATTTATGATAGCTATCAAAATTATTTTCTAAACTAATTTACAGAGGATATCTAAAGAAAGCAAGGAGAGAAAATAAGTTAGTTGGACTATGAGTGGACAATGAGCAATGAAAAGGTGCATTTTGTTTAATACTCTGCTTAACCACCAGTGGGTCTCCCAAAAAACCGCTGGGCAAAAAGCCAGCGTTTGCCAACAGTGGCCCGCTGCCCTCAAGGAGTTAACTATTTAAAAAACATATTTTTAACTTCAGAGGATCTAAAAGGTTTATTGGTCAGTTTGTTTGTGCTAAGGCTTATTATGGATTGTGCAGTAACTATTATGAAACTAACAAATATGGTATGTAGTTACAAGAGTGTGGAATTGAAGTTTAGACCTGCTGATGGGCCAAGAGTTTATACACTAAAAGCGATGCCATATAAGAACCACTTTTGGTTCCCCAAAGAACATTTCAGTGGACGATTCTTAAAGAGAACTTTTTTGCAAATCAGATGTGTGTGTGTGAAGAACCGTTTTAAAATTTAAAGAACCTCCCAATGATATAAAGTTCCCATACCAATGAAAAGTTTGTGCTATAATCTCACAGCCATGTCAGAAACCTTTATTTTGGAAACAACACAATCTTTTATTTTTATAAAAGTACATATGTACCTTAATTCATAAAGCTCTCATAGTGGAAACATCATAGATAGAGAATTAAGGAAAAGGTGAAAGAAGGCAGGTCTGGTTAGGGGTAGTAGACTCCCCCCCTCACCTCCCACAGCTGCATATCAGCTTTGAGGATCATTAACCATCCTCAAGAACCTCCCCCTTGTGTGGATGACTACACTGGATGGTACATACAGAGGTGACACTATTCGGGAGGTCAGCCCAGGAGCTAGAGCTAGAAGCAGGGACAATGGATGGCTATGGTTATTCAAGGGTAAGTGTTTGTTAAATGCTAGTGTATATATCTTTTACATTATTGTTTCCCAAATCCGGTCCTGGAGTACTCCTGCCCTGCATATTTTGGTATTTCTTCTGCTCTAACACACCTGATGCAGCTGGTCAGCTCTTTAGCAACCCCTTTATGAGGGAAGTCACCACGCTGCGCCCATATGAAGGGCAGGGGTACCCCCGGACCATGGATGGAAGGAGCATAGTGCAAAGTGGACAAGTGTTTCTGTTTGGTGCCTCAGGTTCTAAGAGTACCTTTATTTTGTATTTGGAAGGTCTAGATTTTGTCAGGTCCAGGAGGAGCTCCTCATTATCAGAAATTTTAATTCCACCACATTTGCAGGTGTTCATTATGATGAAGCTCATTGGATCAGCTGAGTCACCTCTTTATATGGTTAAAAGGATTTTCCCACTCAGCTGAATTCTACACCTATGTTGGGCTCTGTTGGCTTTCACATAGTTGTTGCAACGTTCAGTAATTCTCCATAAAAATATCAGGTTTCTCTTCTGTGTCAAAAGCCTTGGACATCACAAGATATTGTCTTATATTAAACAAAATTATTTTTCTGGCATGTAAAGTCAAACTGGACAGTTTCACTTTCTTTGTCCTTTAGCAGTGAGGATCCTTTTCCATCTTCTCATTGATATTTATTTCAGACAATGGAATGTCACACCTTTGCCCTGAAGGCATCGGTTCCATTTTTTCTTTACCACTGCAATATCCTCAAACCACCACCAGCATGTTGTGTCAACTTTGCATGGCATGTCTTGCAGTTTTTACTCCAAACACATCTCTAGTCCGCTTGTTTTGGGCTGTCTGGTATAAAGCCTGAGGCCAACATTTGCCATTTTAGTCAGGTTTTTTAATTCTGCCTCTTCCATATTGTCTGTCAGGGTCAATAATCTTAAGAGAAGGACAAATACCTGCTCTTTCATCATATCTCATAGTTTCAAACTACCCCAACTATTCAAAGGGCTTTATCTCCACTGACTGAGCCACAGGTTTCCCTTTCATTTGTAGAGTCGCTGCCCTTCCAGGCAACACTGAGTCTATGCTTTGTTTATAGTAAAGATACCGTAGTTGATAAGATATGAACAGTTGGCCCAGAAAAACTACACATTCATCTAATCTGCTCTTTCCTTTAACATAAGTCACGTTGAGGTAGCGGCCAAACGTTAAGGTCACAGTAATCCAGGGTGAACTACAGTTTAGGCTTGAGTTACATGACATGCTATGTTACCCTGAATACAGGGAAAACCATAAAGGGCATACATTCTGCATATTTTTTCTTTCATACTACAGAAACCACAGTTCATGGCTGCCTGATTTTTTAACCGGAAGAGGGGATGCAAAGTTGTAGAGTGTACAGACTGTGGTAGACCACCAAAACTGTCACCACCAGATAAACCTTACTTAAAGCTTTCATCTTTGAGGTTGAAGCTGTTTTAGTTACTTGCATAATGTGTTAAATATAGGTTTCTGCTTTGTTCTGAAGCTGAAAAATGAATAATGTAATAGCTGCTTTTACTGAAAATTAAATAAATAAAGGGTGGTCCATGAATTTTACACACTACTGTATGTATGCAGAACACGTGTTGCCCAAGACCCCAGAAAACATGCCCCCATTAGCCCACTGTGTGCTGACTGTGGGCAGTGTAGGATTAGGCAAATCCACATAAAACCAACAAGGCCCTACAGAAGATAGCCACACTGGGCACACACCACCATTCTGGAAAGTGGCCCACTGAGCTGTGGACTTGGACGAACTCGCAGAGTTAGGGCTGCCTGTGTAGGGCCAACATTAAAGGGCCAGTCATTTGCCAGTGAGCAAATCTCAAGGAAAAATAAATCTCCAAAATAGTTCTTACCTTTTTTTTTTTATAAAACCTCTACTTTTAATGTAAGTTAATGTAAAAATGTTTAATTGAAAGTGAATTTGGAGCATTTCTATTGTTCCATTCGTCACTAATTTTTCACACCATATAAAGGGCTGCTGCTCCTGTTCTCATCACCACCACTGTGAATAATTCTAACTCTAACTAGAATATAACACTTCATATCAAACCACTCTGAATGACTGTGTTTACATCCCAAAATCATGATTCACCTCCTCCCCAACCTCCCCAACCTATCTTTGAGTGAAAACGCTAAGATAGCTCAGAGACCCTCCCTGATACTGTTTCACTCAGAAATACTTCTTGATACAGAAGGAAAGTGCTTTTCTGATTCATGTTGACCTTAATACTAATGCAAAGACTCTGAAATATAAACAGGGTTAAAATACATAGAAAAGGTTCACAAAACATCTAAAATGTCTTTACTATTGGTGGTAGCAGTTTCTAAGACTGTACATAAAGAGTGTATTAAAAAAGAAATCATTGGGTATATTAAATTAATTCAGAATAGTCCACCAACCAAAAATATCCAGCTAACAGCAGTCATGATCAGAAACTGAGCACTGATGAAGAGCTAGAGGGCAATGATAATAGAGTCAAGTGCACTGAAAAGACATACTGTGGGATCCAGAAGTCTGAGATTACTGATGAAAATGCTTCTATTTTGCATTCATTTTTTAAATTTAACACAAGTTTGTTATTACAAATAATACTGTCAGCATGATGATTTCAGTGAAAAGTAGAATCTTTGAAAGTTTACGTGAAATTCTTAATATTTAGTATGTTTCCCATTTGCTTTAATGACAGTGTGCGCTTTAGCTGCCATGGGCTCCATAAATGTGTACTAAATCCTTGGATCAGTAGATCAGCTCCACCTAAGACTCGCATGAACATGAGCTTCAATGAAAGGAATAAGAATAAAAAAATCTGACTTTTTTGTACAATGGCTACAACATGGTCAATTTTACATTGCTCCAATTTGAATAGTGACCTTATCTTGAAAATTTCTTCTTCACCGTGTCACTTTTTTGTTTTAAATTATTCAAAATTTCTAAAACTTTCTGGTATTATTTAAAAGAAAAAATCCAAATGTTCAATGTCTCAGACTTTTGGACCCCACTGCATGTCATGCATCTCAAAATTTGAAAAAAAGATGTTTGATTTTCACCCAATCTGTGTGAATAAAACAACATATGTCATTTGAATTGTTATATGTGCACAAGTATTGGTATCTGGTACTGGATCTAAATGAAAATTAATGGTGTCACCCATCCCTCCCTTTTAGCCTAGCAAAAGAACAGACGCAGCTCCTTCTAAGCACGTGCTTTAATTTGCCCACAGAAACTGAAACCACTGACCCAAGCAAATGCCCAGCTCAACACTAATGTCAGTTTACAGCAGTTACAAATCAGAAGCTTCCTCACAACACACTGCCAGGGAACTGCATACAGCTTTCAAACAAAGGCCTCATCATTAATTAAACTCTGTTTTGCATTATTTAAATTATTTATGTGGTAAAGCTGAAACCCCTGTTCTGGGGTTTTCTCCCAGTGTCTATTATATAACTGTACAAACTTCCAACTCAGCTGAGAGTTGGTACTATTTATAGAAATCTTCCAGGCTATATGAAAGTGTGCACATTACGTTGGGTTATGTGAATCCTCACTGCATGCAGATATATATTGTTTCAGCAATTCATTACAATACATTGAACACATGACACTAAGGTTAAATGATGTAAGAGTCATGCTGCACTGCATTTTCTAAGAAGTTAATCAACTACACCGTGTAGTTCATTTACCTGCTGTCTATGGCTAACTATAATTAGCTGTAGTATTTTAACAATAATGACTCTTTTGTCACTTGTTAATAGTTAAATGTGATGTTTGGCCATAGATTAACTGTGCTATTCTTTCTGACCCTGCAGCAGATTCAGTTTGCCAACCAGGAGGACAAGCAGGAGTTCAGCAAGTTCCCCACTAAGACTGGACGCCGCTCCCTGTCCCGCTCCATCTCACAGTCGTCCACCGACAGCTACAGCTCTGGTCTCACGCATTCTCCTCTCTTACTGCACATCAGACTTGCTTGCACAGAAAGCCAAGGGTTACATAGAATATATGTATAACATTTAAAAGTAGTATATTGTGCATGTGGTAAATGTCAATGTCAAAGCAGCTTGGCAGGCTGTGGTTTGATTGGCTACTTCTTACTACTTGATTGGCAACCTCATATCTCTGACACAGTAACTTTACTGAAGAAGGAAAATGTTCTTAAGTTTATTTGTTTATTACAGGAACAATGTACACTCCATAACATCCTTGTTCTATGATGTGCCAGATATGCTCCAGATATGTGCCAGATCTAGCCAAATGGCTAATTTTCCACTTTAAATATCATCTCTGTCTAAAAAAGCCATCTATCTCCATTTTTTTAACATCTTTTGAACACAGCAGCCCCTTCTACATTGTCTGAAAATTTAATGATGCATGGAACAATAGAAATGTTGCAAAATGACTTAATATATAATAATAGGATAAATACCTTTACATTCACTTGCTTTAAAAGTTAAGAATGTACTTGCCTCCTCCTGTACAGTTAGCATTTTGGATATATTTTTACAGTGATGACATTTTAATGTAATTTAACAAACCTTAAAAGCTTTGCTTTTAATTTTTTTAAATTTCTGTAATTTCTGTTGGTCCATTCATCATGTAAAGAGCTATGTTGAAGTGGAATTTTTTTTCTGCATGATTTCTGCATGATTACATTTTTAAGATGTAAACCATTCAGAGTGGTTTGGTGTGAAATGCTCTGGTATAGAAAGACTTACTGAGTCATAACTGTTCACAGTGTTGGCGATAGTAACCAGATGTCTGAAGAGTTTAACACCTCTAAAAGCTCCCTCACATAAGGTTATTACATGAAATGGTTTTGAATTTGCTGCATGATGCCTGAAATATTGTTTTATGATAGTTTTGCAAGAAGCTTTTGGCCTAAAACATATTTTAAAAATACATTCTTGGTGGAGTGGTATATGAAGGGTGTTGTAAGGCAAAATATGCATATTATTTTTTCTAAACTACTAATACTTTACATCTTTACTTTTCATCAACATTACATATAAAATCTGAGAAGACGTGTAGGTTCACTGGTATTTTAGTGAATAAAATGGCTATATTTACATCATCTTGGTTCCTATCACAAGCACTGTAAAGAAATTTGGCAAGTTTCTCTACATTTGAGCATTTCACATCAAACCATTCTGAATGACTTTGTTTACAACTCAGCTATTGAACTATGCAGAAATTTTAAAAAATCCCCTTTAAATGTAGCTGACATTTTCAAATTGGGGTAAAAAATAAAAACAACACACACACAAAAAAGAAACAGCGAGATTATGAGGATTTCTCATGACATTGATGATATGTTGAATGGACCTAATGGGATTTCTAATACATTACTGAGCCATTCATGATGCTTAAAACATTCTAACCTGATTATGACAGCAGACAAGCAACCTGATCTGCCTAATTTTGTGATGAGAAAAAAACAGTTTAATAATCTGGGCTTGATTATAGCATAGAGTTATTATCTGCTGCAATTTTACTGCCTGTTATAGCCAGACATTGTGTCTCTGTGTGCTGATCCCACAGCTGCCTCATACACGGACAGCTCGGACGACGAGACGTCTCCTCGAGAGAAGACTCAGGTCAATTCCAAAGGCAGCAGCGACTTCTGTGTCAAGAACATAAAGCAGGCGGAGTTCGGCCGGCGGGAGATCGAGATTGCAGAACAGGGTGAGGAGATGAGCTCTCCAGGGAGACAGCAGTGGAAAAAGATCTTCTCCTCTTGGGTCCCACTTAGTTCTAGTTGTCCTTAAACCACATAGCTGCGGTGGCTAGCAACCTGCGACCTCATTTCCACCCACTCTGCCTTAAACATCGTTTCAGAAAAGTGGAAAGCAAAACATAATAGAATATATACTATTATTATTTTGTTGTTGTCAGTAACAGTGACAGTTTTACACTATAGTGCCAGTTTTTAGATCTGTTTGAGTTAAAAGTGCCAGGTCACTAACAACCTGAGCCACTTAGCTGACAAATTAAAGGAAAAAACAGAGTAATGTGTTAATAGAAGCCACCACAAGCCACCAGAACCCCTTGCTATAGATTCTAGAAGTCTCTGAAACGTTACTGGAGGAATGGAAAGTTATTCCAAAAGATATTTTCTTCAGTTGTTGTTCTGATGATGTTGGTGTTGGAGAGTGCTGTCTATCACAGCAGCCCAAAATCTCCCATAAGTGTTCAACTGGTCGAGATCTGGTGATTGCGAAGGCCACAGCATTGCTTTTTATCATTTTCATACTCCTCAAATAATTCAGTGACCCCCTCATGCCCTGTTGATGGGGCACTGTCATCCTGGAAGAAACCACTCCCATCTGGATAGAAAAGTTTCCTCATAGGATCCCTGTCTAGGGCAGGAGTGCCTAATCCTCATCCTGAGTTCAGCTGCACCCCTAATCTACCTCTCTAATGAAGGTCTTCAGGAGCATCTGAACATTAGAGACAGGTGTACTGGATCTGAACTCTCCAGGGTGGTAGATGTTCAGGAACAGGAATGGGTACTCCTGCTCTAAGGGGACAAAGGGCCCAAACCACACCAGCACAATGCCCCTCACAGAATAACAGAGCGTACTGTTCTCTTGGTGTACACCACACATGCACTTGCCCACTCGTGGAGAATATGGTGAAGGATGACTCATCTGACCATGTCACGTTTTCCATGTCTATAGACCAGTGTTTATGGTTTTTACACGACTCAACTCTCAAATGTGCATTTATCATTGTAATGAGGGCCTTATGCACTTCAACTCTACTATAATATGCCTCTCTATGTAGTTGTGGATGGACTGTTCTTGCTGAAAGTCTGATCACATGCTTCATTGACATTCTCAACCAACTGAGGAGCAGCTGCTCCTGTTTTTTCTTACATATTGCACTAATGCACATTGAATGTGTACTTTCTACTATAATCTCTAACCCCATTTAGTGATGTCTTTACCATAGATCTGAATGCAGGTGTCACTTTAGTCACTGTTCCTATTGAAACACTAGCCAGTTGAGCAGTCTTTGTGACTGACACTCCTGCCACCTGTGCCCCAATAATAAACGCTCTTTCAAAATCATTTTCCTTTTGCCATCTTGATCCAACATCCTGCAGAGCATAATTGTATCATGCTGTACACCCTTCTAAAAGCACTTTTTTCTATTTATTTATTCAGGATTTTCCTTTAAATTGTCAAATATCTGCCACCCAACTCTTTTCTTTCACTTCAGTTTCAAAGTGACTTCTAGCACTCAGCACTAGGAACACTTTAGATAAAGATAGATATTTTATATCATGTTTTAGTCTTAATTACAGATCTCGGCATTGTACTCAGGTGTACTCACTCAGATCACAGTGCTGAAAAGCTCTTGGGCCAATTTACACTGTTCCAGCTAAAACCTCAGTATTCCTGACACTACTAAACAAAAATGCTTCTGGAAAAGCTCAGGAAGTTCTATTGTATGTCTATTTATAGTTGCTTAGAAAGAAGTGTACTCAGAAAAGTACTCTCCAGTGGGCTGCAAGGACTGGTTAACAGCTGATTGTGGCAGCACCAGACAGTTTCAGTTGTTTTTTTCTAGTTCTTTGTTTCCATACATCTGTTTGAAACATAAATGTCTCATTTTGATTGCTTAAATAGGATAAAAACGACTCTGAATACAGAATGCATTTTAGGATTACTATTGAGGCCATTTGTAAATCATGTTGTAGCCAAGCTTTCTTGGACGTGGCTTAGTTGATGTCTGGTAAACTGGTCATCATCTTCAACTTTAAGCCTCCTCTCTCTGATTTCTCCCCAGACATGTCTGCTCTGATCTCACTGAGGAAGCGAGCTCAAGGCGAGAAGCCCCTCGCTGGAGCCAAAGTGGTCGGCTGCACTCACATCACTGCACAAACCGCAGTACGTTTTGCTCATCCACTACTGCAAAATGCACACTTTCAGTTTACAAAAACTGTTTTTATTTTGAAATTGCAAATTTTTTTTATGTTTCATTTCTTTATACCCACAATAATATTGTCCAGTTGCCACTATACACGTCATTACTTTATATGCAGTTATAACTTTACAATATGTTTATAAATGTTTTATTCAGTAGTTCAACTATTTTGAGAACCAAAAGAACTTATTAATAGCTCATATCCTGCATTTTTCTTTTACTTGTGGATGTTTGTACTAAAGCAAGACTCATTTTTACTTCTCTTTATCCCTTAGAATTAATCAGGCTGTTTATGTTACTTTCCCTTTAAGATTGATATATGTTAATGAGCTATGTTCTGATTGGCTGCCCTGCATTGTACCACATTCAAAAAGCAGCCCAGGCCAACACTCCTTATAACTTCAGTGTGAATGGGCAGGGATAAACCATCCTGGCCCAGATGCAGCAAAACAGGCCCAAACCATGACACTACCACCACTGTGTTTCACAGATGGGATAAGGTTTTTATGCTGGGATGCAGTGTGTTCCTTTCTTCAAACATAACGCTTCTCATTTAAACCAAAAATATCTATTTTGGTCTCATCCCTCCACAAAACATTGTTCCAATAGTCTTCTGGCTTGTCCATGTGATCTTTAGCGAACTGCAGATGGGCAGCAATGTTCTTGTTGGAGAACAGGGGCTCCTTGCAACCTTGCCATTCCATTTTCTATATTTCTGCATAAATTTGACCTAAATCTTCATCAGATTTTCACACATGTCCTAATAGTAGATAAAGAGAACAAAATTAAACAAATGATACAAAAATATTAGGTTTTGTAACCTTTCTACGCCTGCCATTGTTGTTCAGTGTTCTCCTAAGTGGACTCATGAACATTAACATTAGCCACTGTGAGACAGGCCTTTAGTTGCTTAGAAGTTACCCTGGGTTCCTTTGTGACCTCGCAGAGTATACACGCCTTGCTCTTGGTGTGATCTTTGTTGGTCGACCACTCCTGGGGAGCATAACAATGGTCTTGAATTTCCTCCATTTGTACACAAGCTGTCTGACTTTGGAGTCCAAACTCTTTAGAGATGGTTTTGTAACCTTTTCCAGCCTGTTGAGCATCAACAACTCTTCTTCTGAGGTCCTCAGAAATCTCCTTTGTTCGTGCCATGATACACTTCCACAAACATGTGTTGTGAAGATCAGACTGTGATAGATCCCTGTTCTTTAAATAAAACAGGGTGGTCACTCACGCCTGATTTCCATCCCACTGATCGAAAACACCTGATTCTAATTTCACCTTCAAATTATCTGCTAATCCTAAAGGTTCACAGACTTTTGCCTCTCACAGATGTAGTATTGGGTCATTTTCCTAAATGAATAAATGACCAAGTCTAATGTTTTTGTCTCATTTGTTTCATTTGGTTCTCTTTATCTACTATTAGGACTTGTGTGAAAATCTAATGAAGTTTTAGCTCAACTTCATGCAGAAATATAGAAAATTCTAAAGGGTTCACAAACGTTCAAGCACCACTGTATTTATTCACAGTATTGTCATGTTGTCCGCCACTAGGGGTGGGAATCTCTAGGCACCTCACGATTCGTTTCGATTACGATTCAGAGGGCTGCAATGCGATTATAAAAAGATTATCGATGCATCTCGATGCAGCTTTTTTTTCTATATAGCATTTATATTTTCCCACTGTGTGAGCTCAAGTTTCGAGTTCAAGTTTCAAGTTTATTTGTCACTTGCACAACATGTCAGGACATCTATGCATTGAAATGCTTGTGGTGAGGCTCAGCTAATCACTCTACAGAAAGTAAATAAGTAAAAATAAAAATACAAGAAAAACCAACTGAAATATATTAAATATACACAAAATATACAGAAAATATATACAGAATGTAGAGACAATATACATTTTAAAGTGACTAAGTGACTCGGTATTATTGTTATTTAAAGTGACTTGGTACTTTTAAAGCAAAGTATTTGTAATGATCCATAATGAATCTACTTCCAATATCTTTTTTAATAAAACGAATGGAAGTGATGTACTTCAGCCTCGTAAAACAGTCGTTGAGAGACATTTTACAAGAAATTGATCAACTTCTTAGGAAAAGTTTTCTGGCAGAGATGGTAGGAAAGCGGCTATACCTGAGCTAAAGCTTAAAGCAGAGCGAAGTAAATCTGTCTTTTCGTTTATATTGTTTAGCCTATACTAGGACATTATCACATACTGGACATTAAATGTTGTGGCTCCCATGGTGGTTTGATTTTTGTTGAAAGGTCAAAATGGCTCTACTTAACATTTGTGTTGTGACTCCTGACCTAACCTGGCTTTTAATGCAGAGGGAGCCGGTCGGATTTCTTGCTTTTCCACTCGTGTTTTTGTCATGTGCCGCCACAGACTGTCCGGGCGCTGCACTTCCGCACTTCCCAGTTCCGCCTTTTGCGTTCCGTCAACATTACGTCATAAATTAAATATTTAGAAAATCGATTTTTGACATTTGTGAATTGATTCAGAATCGTTCACGTCCGCATCGCGATGCATCTAAGAATCGATTTTTTCCCGCACCCCTATCTGCCACATGATCTGATCACCACTTTTGAAACACTTGTTCTGGATATTCATTTGATTATAAACTTTCAGTCTTTTTAGAATCATATGCAGCTGTGTGTTCATCATTCAAGAGACATAGCTTCATACAAATTATGTAAAACCTATGAAGTTGCAAAAGACTTGCATATTAGAATAATTGTACACATTTATCTGCAACCATATTGGTCTCACATTATTGAAAACGTTGAAAAGTGATTCCAAACTTTGTGAACAGGTCTGTAAATGTGGACATATGCTGTTAAATATGCACATCTAGATTGCATTGTGGTCCAAATGCCTCCTCTTAGTTTGCTTTTCTGCATCTTTGGACTGTCTGTGCTGCTTTCATGCAGGTCCTGATTGAGACGCTGGTGGCCCTGGGTGCTCAGTGTCGCTGGACAGCATGTAACATCTACTCCACTCAGAATGAAGTGGCTGCTGCTCTGGCAGAGATTGGTAACCTAAACCATATACCACTATATACAACATGTGTCAGTGTCCAGTCACAATGGTACAGAGTTCAGTGTTTTCACAGATCTAACATCTCATCAGCTAATTGTCAAGGCCTTGTAGGGACAATACAGACATTTGTGTGGGTTTATATACCAGCAATTTACTTTTACACGACCATTTTCTGTCCTTTTCTATCCCTTAGAATTACACATGCTGTTTTTGTTTCTGTGCCTTCAAGACTGATACATGTAAATGAGCTCTATTCTAACTATTTGTCCTGTATTGTGCAGTCAGGGTGGAAAAACACTCCTTATAACTCCACTGAGAATGGACGAGTCTAAACTGCTGTAGGTTGAACTGGTGGTTAGATGTAAATGTTGGTTGTTGTGACATTACAAAAACAGTTAATTCACTCTTTTATTTAAAAAAGTTAGGAAAATTAATTATAAAGGACCCACAAGGGTCCTTTAGGGTCAGTGTGAATCAGAAATCATAACATGTTTTCCTTTTGTACTGTTAAACACAGTCTCTGAGCTAACTGGGCATTTTCACTTGATGATAGGTAGTGGAAGGAATAGTAAAACATGATTATTATTGTTGGTTGGTATTCTTCTCTTTACCTGCTTGTGCACAGTGATAAAGCCAGAACTAAGAAGCCATTTCAGAGGCTGATATACTGAGTTAATATATTGAATTATGCTTAGTATGACCAGGACCATAAACTAGCAAGGTAAAGAAGGTCAATTTTGGTTTCAGGTTGATGTTAAAGTTAATGTTGGTGAGTTAAAGCATAGTAAACAGTCATTCTGCAGGACCTTGCCCCTCTATGACCTGAGTTTGACATTGTTCCAATAAACAATTTAAGTCTTCTACAGTGAGACCCCCTAAACATCCATCTAAGCATCTATGGAATGCAGGTACTAGCCAGAGCAATGTGCACCAGAGCTTAGAGCTGGATAAAGAAATATGTTTGTGCTCCTTAAATAAGTACTTAAAAGATGAATCTGGGTCACCACACGTTTGTTGTCATGCCAGCTTTCTATGGTTGAGTAAAACTCTTTCATCTCTCTGTGTTTTAAAAGGTGTGGCGGTTTTTGCGTGGAAAGGAGAGTCTGAGGACGATTTCTGGTGGTGCATCGACCGTTGTGTCAACACCGAAGGCTGGCAGGCAAACATGGTACACAGCGCTTTTGTTTTGACCAGACATAATAATTCCATTGTTTTACTGCATTGGATGTTTTATTGATGTGTTTTGATGAGTTTTTTAAAGGACTTTAAGTGCAGTTGCTAACTTTCTTAGAAGACTTGGTAGCACTAAACATTAATACCTTTTTGGATATTTCTACACTGAATGCCAGTATATGACTGACTTTGATTACTGTCTTGCTGATAGATCTTGGATGATGGTGGTGATCTGACTCACTGGGTGTATAAAAAGTACCCCAGTGTGTTTAAGAAGGTTCAAGGAATAGTGGAAGAGAGCGTCACAGGAGTTCATAGGTGAGATGACATGGCTAATCCAGTTTGCTGTTAGGCCTGTCACAATTACTATACAGTTGCCTGTTCACAAATATTTAAAGCCGCACTATGTAAGTTTTGGGGATTTGGAGACCTCTTTGGTGGAAAAGGGTAAACGCATGCAATGTGCCGAGGGACGCTTTATAACGTCAGTTGTGCTTCGAACCCCTTTTCCTAATGGATAAATGTGATGATCGCGAGGGTGTTGAAAGAGAATTCAAAGAGAAATCAGTCAAACCTTCGTGAAGGACGTCTTCTGAGGGTGTAAGTGAACTAACTACTACAGCCATCATATCTTCATCAGTGTAATGTTGATTTTGTATTTGAGACCTAAACATCGAGTCAGACCTTCTTTTTGAGACTGTGTGACGTTAATATGTAAAGACCAGTGATATGGTCTGAAAAATCTCTGCGAAAACTGACCTGACGTCTCTGATGTTAAATGATTATTTCATGCTTTACAGGGTGACTCACAGCAGCGCATGCATACCATATTTTAGCGTGTTTTTTTCCTGACTTAGTAATGCTACTTTTGATTTTAACAAAAAAATCTTACAGCTTTAAGCTGAATTAAATGCAATTATTTTTCACAGTTAACTTATAATCATATTTTTACATTATAATAAGCAGAATGTGAACTGGGTGCAGTTTCATCTATTGTCCTGAGTCAAATATATGCAAGCAAAAGAAAGTAGAAAACTCATTTACTGAAGTACGTCATGAGACAATAACAGTGTTCTTACCTCTGACTGGTTCTGTAACACCTTTAGAGGGCAGCAGTGAGTATTGTTTGTTTATTTGAGCTCAAGCTGTGTTTGTCTTCATTTGGGAGTTACTAAGCACTGACAGCTAAGAAGACTTTAGGCTTGCACTTTAATAGTTGCATACAATAAACAGAAAAAAGACGATTAAATTGTTATTGCAATAGAATAAGTGATGTAAGATTATTTATATGGCAATTAATTGTCAGCTGAAATTTCATGATGGGCCTATGCACTGTGAAGTATACTGTGTAGGGGTGGAGAAATGCGTTGTGATGGATAAATTTGAAGGTGGCCATTTCACTGAATCTATCTATCACTGAAATGTTAGAAATAAATACAATTGACAATTAACTGGTATATCATGTAATTGTTTTTGAATGCAACTATTGAAGTAAAGCCTAAACTCGCCAAATTGGCTGAAAAATTAGCCTGTCAATACTTAGCTGCTCCCAACTTCACAGCTCAAGTTCAATTATACAAACATCACTTACTGCTGCCCTGTAAAGGTGTTACAGCACCAAGTCAAGACTCATGAAATGTCTCAATAAATGTGTTTTCTGCTTTCTTTTACTTACATGGATTTACCTCAACCCAACTGATGAACTCACCCAGTTCACATTCTCTTTGTTGCAACTAAAATCAATCATTGTGAAAGCTAAAAAAGAATAATCAGCCCAAATAATTGCGATCACCTCAGATAATTGCAATCAGGAGAATGAGTAATGAGCCTACTAATAACATTGAGTAAACTGTGCATTTGTTTTGGCCAAGTTAAATTTTTTCAGGCTATTTTTCAAATGTAAATTCTAAAAAAAGCTAGCTTTGTTTGTGTGTTTTCATTTTACTGTCAACATTCCACTACAGAGTAAATAGTTTCTCTAGTCACATTTGTGTATTTATTGCATTTTTAAAAATAGTTGGGAAAGATACCAAAATAAATGAATCAGATCAAACTGAATTGAATCAAACTGCATTGAATTGAGTAGAATCATTGTGAGGTAAGAGACAATAATACCCCTAATACTATATTGATCAATGTGCCACGTGTAGATTGAAAAGACTGTTATTGAAAAGGTCACGTTGATGTTTTGAACCATCAGCTGAATATTAAATTAATATTTTCATCAACATCAGTGTTGATCTTACTCGTGTTCTGTTTTGATATGTCTCACTCACGTTTTCAGGCTCTACCAGCTGTCTAAGGCCGGAAAGCTCTGCGTCCCTGCTATGAACGTTAATGACTCTGTCACCAAGCAGAAGTTCGATAACCTCTACTGCTGCAGGGAGTCCATCCTGGATGGGTGAGGCGCACTGATGCTAAGATGCTATTTTTAGCTTGGCGTGTCACGTCTTCCTGCCGTGATTTCACACAGATAAAGCTCTGCTCCGACAGCATGTCGCTCTGATCTGTCTTTACTTCTTTTTTAGACTTAAAAGAACCACTGATGTCATGTTTGGTGGGAAGCAGGTGGTGGTTTGTGGATATGGAGAGGTGAGTCAACATCAGCTGATTTGAAGATGTAGTGATAAAAGTGTTCTGTTTTAAAAATATCTCCATAGTTTACTTTCTTAAGTGCTGAATATGTGTTTATGTCCTAGTTGTTTTGAATGTGGGTCTGTGGATATCTGCTGTTATTTAGGTGGGCAAAGGCTGCTGCTCTGCTCTGAAAGCTCTGGGAGCCATTGTTTGTGTGACAGAGATCGACCCTATCTGTGCCCTCCAGGCCTGGTGAGACACACACACATACACACAGAGCATTGTCTGCGCTCAAGGTCAAACCATGTGATCAGGATCATTACTGTGCTTTGCTTTTGTTGCTTCTTTAGCAGGTGTAGCTGTACAGTCGTTTATGTGAAAGTTTGGACGCTCCTGCTGGTTGTGGATTCAATTATTAGTTATTTGCTGAATTTAACACAATGGGGAAAAAAAATTAAATATAAAATGAGACCTGTGCAGAAGTTGCACCTTATATTTTATATTTTCTTTTTTCAAATATTTTAAATTCAGCAAATCAATAGAAATTGTGCACTAAAATGTTCAGGAAAATGCTTAGGGGTGTACAAACGTCTGTGTATGATGTCTATATTACTGAATAAAACTCTTCACCTGTGTGTTAGGCTGGTAACACTTTACTTGAAGGGTCATAACAGGCTCATGAACATTTACATCAACATTCATAAAGCATACATGTTTTACATTACATTAATATGTACTACTATGTAATTTTACTTAGAGACCATTTTCAAAATAAAAGTTCTTTGAAAAACTATAACATTTTCAGTAAACGCCTCATTTTTGCACAGCCAAAATGACCTTGCTTTACCCTAAGGTCATTAAATGCTTTGACACTTGGCACACCACCACACTGAGATTCAGTCAAATAATTGTTCCTAAGCATATTTAAGACTAATTTACTGCCCATGTAGTAAAGTGACATGCAAAGCAACAAATGCTTAAGAAAAAACAGATAATTAAAAGTAGTAGTGAGTTGTTTTTATTGAAAACAATATACCTTTTCAAAATAAAAAAATTACAATTTTATTTTGAAAATTGTGTCTCAATAAAATGACATAGTAGTCCATATTAATATCATGTCATGAATACTTCATAAATGTTGATTTAAAAATTCATTAACGTGGGATGAAGTGTTTATGTAAGATGTTATAAATGTGTTATGTAGACACCCTTAAAGTGTTACTGTTAGGCCTATGAGGATATATGTCCATCTGAGTCAAATTAGCATGCACAATTTGATTTGCGTATAGTCTGTTCAAAATAAACATTCTTGGCTGGGACGCACAGTTCAAGAAAAACTTTGGTAACACTTTATTTGGATAGTCCACTTTCGATGCTTTGTAGACACTTAATTTACTTTCAAGTTACAATCAGCTAAATATCTACTAAATTGACCACAGTTTTCTTTAACTCTAAACCTGGCTCTAATCCTAACCCTAACCTTAACCTCAACCCAAACTTAAACCCAACCCTCATCCTGGTCCTAGCCCTAACACTGGTCCAAATCCTAAGCCTAACCCCACCACCATTTAGAATCAACAGTTTAGTTTCAACAGATAGTTTATTAACAGTTTGAGCATGTGTAGATAATCTATAGGGGTGAGACCAAAACTTTTCATTGGTATAGTATCTTTAATTTATGTCGTTTCCGTCTTTAAACTTGAAAAATGTTGCTCACACCTACACATCTCGTTTACAAAAATAATTTTTTAACAGAATCATCTTCTTCTATAACATCACTCTTAAGAACCCTTTCTGACACTTTATTTTCAAGAATGTAGGTAAAATACAATGTCAACCTTGTGCAAGCTCATCTAAATAAAGTACTGAAAGCACTGGCAATTAGAGTATTGAATTGTTTGCCACATTGAAAAAGTATTGAACTTTCTACACATTGTGCAGCTCTCGTTGATGACCTTGTAATTCAGAGAAGCACTAGTAACATTCGGGGGGAAATGCCTTTGGAACATTTTTGTTTATCAGGGTAAAAGAGCGGTGGGGGGTTGGGTTTGGGTTTAAAATGCCATTCATTCTTCCCAGAGACAAATATGGCTTAGTACCCTTATTTGGACATGTCACCAAATACAAAATGATGCAGGACCTCAGAAGTCAAGTAAATAAGGTTTCTTCACACTGGAAGACATTTAACAAACCAACAAGCGCATTAATCCCAATGAGAAGCTTATAAATACCTCAATCAAAAGAACACAATCAACTGGTGGGTTTACACATCTTTGCGAAATGTTGCTAATCGTTTAAACCCATGTTGTACCTGTTAGGATTAACTAAAGCCAGATGTTTTATTTCCCACAGCATGGATGGTTTCAAAGTGGTGAAGCTGAATGAAGTGGTCCGCCAAATGGACATGGTGATAACCTGCACAGGTAGCTGCCTCCAGATGTTAACAGCATGTGTTTTTCCATGTGGCACCACTTTCACTTCCAGAGTTATTCTCCCTTGTGACTTCCAGCTCTAATCAGAGCTCAAACACAGCACCTGATGCCCTTGTTTCCAGCCTCTTAGCAGCGCCCGCTGAGTGCAACACTTGTTTGAACTGTCTGGAGAAAACCAATGTTTGCACTCGATGTCTTATGAATCACAGTGTGTCATGAAGTGTGAAAGAGGCAGAGAGGGTGACTACCGTTTGTACTGGGCGGAGATCTGGGTGCCCTTAGTCTAACGCATGGCTACACAATGGCTTCTTGAGAACACAATCACTTAGTAGGTTCCAATTTCCTGAACATACAGTCGTAAAAGTTTTGGCGCCCCGGTCAAATGACATATTTGGTTGATTTGTGAAAGTGGAAATAGGTACACAACCTCTACAGAGAACACACATCTGCACCGTTTAATGCACAGTTACTGTTTATTTGCTGAAATTGAACATATTGGAGAGAAAGTTTAATATATAATCATAGTCCACGGTCTAATTAAAAATTTAATTACGTGACTAACCATACATTAAAGGGCTCATATCCTACATTTACTGTAGTTTATTTTTCCCCCAGGTCTACCAATGACACTTGTGTGATTTAACGTAGCAAAAATTCAGTAATTCAGTTTTACATGATGTTCCAACTTCACAGGCTGCTTTTGTTACTTTTCCTTTGAGACTGAAATACAAAACTTTGGGCACCCCTAGTCAAATTACAAGTATTACAAATTGAAAATAATACATCCTCTATAGAGAACACATTTCTGCACATTTTAAACTTAGCAAATGAAGAGAAACTGTGCTTTTAAATCAGTGTCTACAGTTTCTTTTGGTCCAATTCATCATGAAATGTGAATGATGGCAGACATTTCTGTTGAAAAACAAAACACATAAAAGAAATAAGGCTTCATTGTGACAGTGACTGTATACCTAAAGGATGCATGGTAATGTTTCCAGAGTCAGGTTCAGTGTGTGGTGATTGTATCTCCACAGGGAACAAAAATGTGGTTACCCGAGAGCAGTTGGATCGTATGAAGAACGGCTGCATTGTGTGTAATATGGGCCACTCTAACACAGAGATTGATGTGGTGAGTTATGAAGAAGCTGTTACGAACTGTTCTGGTCCTGTAGGTTCTACAGGGATGCACCAACTTTTTCTCCCCTAAGACAGATACCAAGTACTAATCCTATACCAGTACCAATGCTTTGTTATGACATTCATGTTTAATAGTAGCAAAGTTAGACATATTGCCCCTTGTTGCAATGCTCTGACGAGTAGGTTAGAAATGTGTGTTTTCTGTATTTAACAAAACTCAGTAATAGCAATCATATGCATGCAAATGCTTTCATATTTTCATCATTTGGTAATACTTTATTTAAAGGCTCGTAACATAGGGGTTTCATAAAGCAGTACCTGAGCATTTATGAACAGCGTCCGGCATTATCCACAAGAAGACATAAGATGTTTTATGACATAAATGACATTGTATTGACATATGAGGTCAAAAGTCATTTGTTCCATTTATAACACCCACAGTTATGAGACATCATTCTCAGGTAATAGAACTTAAAAGGCAGATGCCTAGTTAAGAACACCATGTATTAGTTCTATGGAAGATTCTGATGCCCTTGAACGTAAGTGGTACATTTCATACATTTTCTGATCCAGGGTATATATACATACATAAATCCGAATACGCTAGAATATGTTTGGTAAAATATAACTTCAGTAAAAGTTCTCTATCTGTATTTCTGATGGAATACAAAAGAACTTGCTTTTAAATGCACTTCAAACTGTGAGTTATTCCATTGGTTATGCTATTTTGATGAACAATTTCTATTAAAGAAAGTTGTGTGGCTACAGACATAAAGTGATGGACATTTGTAACCATCATTTCTAAGAAATGGTACAGCAGAGGCCTAGTTAAGAACACCATATTATCAGTTCTGTGCGGCACGATTTCTTAGCAATGACGGTTACAAATGTCCATCACTTTAGTATAAGACCCTTCTGTCAATACAACGTTATTTCCATCGTAAAACATTTTAAGTCATTTTACTCATATTACTCGTATTGCTTTATAACTATGTCTCAGGTATTGCTTTATAACCATGTCATGCAATGCTTATGTATGTGTTATTAATTCTCTGTGTAGGTATCCTTCAAATGAAGTGTTACTGAATATTTTAAAATCTATATTTTTATAGCAGTCTTTTTAGGATCGTACAAATTTTTAAGTGTATTATTTTAAAAAATTGCATTGTTACAGTTTTATAATGACTGTGACTGAAAACAGTATTGAATGTGGATCAGTCAGCAGTGCTTATTAAACAGGTCAGATGTCGGTCAGACATGACTGATCCACATTCAATACTGTTTTCAGTCATAATCATGACCTTTAAGCTGATGATTAATTGATATTTTTTTGTTTTCATAAGCCCCATGATGAATAGATTTATTTCTCTTTTATTTACGTTTATTTGCAACAACCCAGCACCAATCCAATTCACATTCTGTTTGCTTTAGCATAATGTGACTGGAATCTAATGGCTGGAAAATGATTGCAGTCAGCTTAAATAACTGGGATGATCTCAAATAATAATGGTTTGTCTATTATGTAATAATTGTGACAGGCCTATTAATAAGGCTGGTGTTGGTGCCAGTAATGATCGAGTAAATTGGCTCGGTACATCTTATATGTTTATCTGATTGATTGAGAACAAAAGTAAGGCTCTTTCCATCCTGCTGTATGCAGTATGTGGGTGAAATATGCTTAGCATGTTTGTGAGATTGTAGGACTGAAAGGCTTTTACTTAAACAGCCTGAAAGCCTCTTATCTGGCTGTTTCTCAACTCAAGGGTGCACATTAAAGTAGAGGATGTGTGTGGGTGTGTGTATTTTTGTTTAGGTATCCTATGTGTGCTTTAGTTTTGTAAGGTAAGAGATATAAAAGTTTGTTTGTGTTTGTGTGTGTGCATTTAAACTGTTTACTCATGTTTTCTGTATCTAGGCAAGTCTGCGGACCCCAGAGCTGACCTGGGAGAGGGTTCGCTCTCAAGTGGACCACATTATCTGGCCTGATGGGAAAAGAGTCATTTTGCTGGCAGAGGTGCTTCATCACTTTCACCTTTATCCTTCGGAAATGGTCAAATAATGCGTATCACAAAATGCAATAGCTGGTTATGCTCTGTTTTCAGGGGCGTCTTCTGAACCTGAGCTGCTCCACAGTGCCCTCATTTGTGCTGTCCATTACAGCCACGACACAGGTCAGAGAGTTTTTTTTGTTTCGACTTTTATGAATATAAAACACTTAAAGGAATAACCAAGTTTGCTTGTTTAGTTTTTCACTGAAGCTATGACGTTAATGTAGCTAACAAATAATGGAAATTTACCACACCAGTTAGCACTGTGGAAAGTACATGTTGAATCATCTGTCACTTGCCTCAAATAGCGTCATGTTGTTAGTTAAGTAATCTCCAGTAGTCTTGCTTATGTGGTTTCACTGTATGACATACTGTTATCTATAAAAATGGATAAAAGTGTGTCACATAGCTAAAAACAGCAGCAGCAACACTGAAGCCTGATTACTTTTGTCCAGTATGTTAAAAAAGCACAGCAAAGTTTGGGCACCTCTGGTCAAATGGTGTTTTGTTTTCTTTCTAAGTGAAAGTAAGTTAACACTTCCTCTACAGAGAACACACTGTATTGCACATTTACTGTGTATTCGCTGAAAAATACACAAAATATGGCCTATGCAAATATTATGGCACATTATACTTTGCGATTTAGTTTTTTACATTATGTCAAACAGCAAATAAATAGACTTTTTTTCTTGGGGTTTTTAGAGGTAAATGACCACATAAGGCTGCTATATGGGAAATACAGTCTAATATATCCTCATATACTCCAATTGACATCAAAAATTGCAGAGTGTCATCTAAAAATGCTGAATGTCTATGTGTAAAATGTGTAACAATTTTGGATATAACAAGTTTTGATATAACAAGTAACAAGGGAAAAAAGATGAGAAAAAAAGAAAGACAGAGAGAGAGAAACAGAGAAAGAGAGGCACTGAGATGATATACTTGATTGTTATTGGCACCAATACTAACCTCATCAATATGCCTGTTACAGTTATAACACGTTTTTGAAAAGAATAACAGCTGATGTATGGGGGAAAACACATTTTTATTTCTCTAATAGAGGTGATATTAGACATCCCAGCAATGTATACAAAGAAAATTCTCAAAAGACAAAAAAGTAAGTCTGTTTGAAATTACTGAGCAACCTGACAAGGTTTAGACAAGTGTGTGATGACTTAGGCATGCAGTCTGCACGAAGTTAATTGGTGTGTAAAATTGAACTATTCTGATACTGATGCCTGTCTGTGTCTGTTTAGGCCCTTGCCCTAATAGAGCTGTACAACGCACCAGAGGGGCGCTACAGACAGGATGTGTATCTGCTGCCCAAAAAGATGGGTAAACTTGCATTATTCCCACTTGCTTTAGCACACTACACTAAAGATAGTTACATTAATGAAACACTGACCATCACAAAATGTACAACAGTAGTGTTTTTTCTGTTTGTGCATGTTACAGATGAATATGTGGCAAGTTTGCATCTGCCCAACTTTGACGCTCACCTCACAGAACTGTCAGATGAGCAGGCCAAGTACATGGGCCTTAATAAGAATGGACCATTCAAACCAAACTACTACAGGTACCAGCATCACTCAACGCAATCTGAGTAGTGCAACATACACTCAGTGGCTACTCTGTGAAACACACCAACCTTGTTATCTACACTCATTTTCCATTTTGTCAGGTCCACTTACCATATACGGTACTGTGTACTGTGCAAAAAGTCAGAGAACACCCTTCATTTAATTAATTCCTAATCAAAGTGGCCATTAAGTACAAATTATGGTAGAGACTACATATAAGATTATCCACTTGCATAAAGAAGGAGAATGTTGTTAATAAGTGTTAAAAAACAGTAGTTTCCAAGATTGGAGTTAAAAGAAAACGGTTAAAAGATACAGAAAAACGTGACTCATAAGAACAGTGCAAGACCTGCTAGACCACCAAAACCTTTAGATAAACAGTACTTAAAGCTTTCGTCTTTGAGAGAAAGGAGAAAATCAAGCTCCACTCTTGATTCAGATCTGAAAAAATTCACACATGTTTCTGTTCATCCTTCCACTGTGAGAAGACAAGTTAACAGTACGAGTCTGAAAGGATGTGTAGCTGTCAAGAAGACCTTACTGAGAAAAAGAAACAGTAAAAAAGGAGGCTATTTTTATATCCAACAAAGAAGAGTCCAGACCTCAACATCACTGAATGTGTTTGACATTACTTGTGTCGTAAGAAGTAGAAAATGCAACCAAAGTCTAAGACTGAACTTTGGAGATGAGAAAAATATCCCTGATATGGAAGCTGTAATAAGGGCAAAGAGTGGACATAATCCTAAAAAAACTGACATTACATTTTGTTTTTGAGGCTTCTGGGAAATTTTCTGTTAACTAGTTTTCTTCCTGGTGCTGAAAAATGAATAACATGATTGCTGCTTTGTCTGGAAATTAAATTAATGAAGAGTCTCTGACTTTTGCACTGAACTGCAGGTGCACTTTGCAGTTATACAGATTGTAGTCCATCTGTTTCTCTGCATTTGTTAGCATGCCTTTACCCTGTCCATCAATGCTCAGGACCAGTACTGACCAGGTATTATGTGGGTGGTGGATCATTTACAGCATAGCAGTGACACTGACATGGAAGTGACATGTGAAGCAGGGTAAAATGGGGGGCCTACATATTATGCAGAGAAGCAGATGGAGTACAGTCTGTAATTGTAGAGCTACAAAGTGCACCTAATAAGTAAGTGGACTTGATAAAATGGACAATGTGTGTAGATACAAAGAGTGTACCTGGTAAAGTGGCCAATGAATGTATCTAGATTTTTATTTACATCTTTGTAGAATATTTCATCTCTCACGTACAGTAGACATGGAAAATAAAATATTTGTCGCCCCCTAGTGTGTCCAAAAAGAAGTGCCTTTCAGAGTCCTGCATATGCCAAAGTAGAACTTTCTAGTTTAGTATTGTAAGTCCAGTAGAGCAATTAATATACAGCATAATACTACTACTACTACTAATAATAATAATAATAATAAATGAATGATGTTTAATGCTGTGCTCAATAGTGCACTGATCATAAATCTCTGTTTACATTCACAGATATTAATTTGTATGACTCACAACGACCTTCATCAGGGATGGAGACACCTGCATTAACCAAGCAAACCAAGAGATTTATTTTCTATTTACTGTAAATTTCTAAAAGGAAAACTTCATTTTAAGTGAATTCTTATTTATAGTGTTATTAACATATAGTGACCAAATACATGTTTGTCACTTAGATCTGATTATACTCTGCTAGCACTTCATTGGATTATAATATACTGTATGTACTTGTTATCTTTTAATCACATTATAAGAGGACCATTGACTATAGGTCTGAAATCGTGCCATATATTGGTAGTGAAAGGTCTGAGGGGTAAATTCTGTACTATATCTTTGTGGTCATACATTTCAGTGCTTGTTTTATTTGGTGTTACATGACTGGTCTTTATGTTTCTGGAAACCGAAAAAAAAAGCCCACACACTGAATTATGCTCCAATAGCGGTTTAGCTAATGGAACTCTTTGACCAAATCCTTGTTGTAGGAGCATGTTTCAGTGGACAGTGAGGGTTTTTTTGGTTTGTTTTCATCTGTTTAATTTAGTCTTTGGATATGCGCACAAAAACTACTCTTTATATATATATCAGAATGATTTGCACTTTCTTCCTGAGTAAGAAATGATCAGAAGTACACATGTGAGCTCTACAGAAGAAGTGAATGTAGGCTTATTTTGTCTTTGCTACTGAAACTGCAGTGTGTTTATTTCTCCCAAGCGCTAGAGTGTTCTGGCAAAGAGATACTGTAAACCCACAGTACACTGGGAGTATCGGCACAGTAGGTAGCCAGCATGATATTTATACAAATAGTGACACCAACAGGTGGTCTCTATGCTCTGCTCATTTGTCCTTTTTACATCATGTCAGTGGCCTTTGACAGAATTTTTCATTTAATTAATTTTAATCAAAAATAAACTTCAGTAGTTTGGTATGAGCTTTACGCAATGAGTAATCACAATCAATTAGGCTACAATAATCAACTGAGTAATTAAAGTTTTCACCTTTTTTTAATAAAATTTTAATTAATAGGTGGTTCCCAGGCCTGGTTGAACACCGATTTGTGTTAATATATTAAAACCACTAAAAAATGAGTCTTAAAGATAAATCACTGTGAATGCAGACATTGAAGTAGGCCTACTTGTTTATCTTAACATTAACTGTACTTAATCCTCTTTGTTAATATGCCTCTCTTTATCAAATGACATATATTCCCTGCCTTGTTATCTCATTAAATGTTTGTTCTGTTCAAAGTTGGATTAGTTCATTGGTTATTGCTGGTTTATTAAGTTTATTGTCTGGAGTGGAAAATATGCATGTACATAATGCAACACAGTTAATGATTACTGATTACTATTTTGTTTTAATGATTAGTCTGTTAGTCTTATCATAAAAATACTCATTACACTATTTTATTTCTATTTTTGCTAAACATGCTTTATAGAACAATGTGTCATGTACTGTACATACAAAGAATTTATGTGTATCTCTCTCTCTCTCTCTCTCTCTCTCTCTCTCTCTATATATATATATATATATATAGGTTATTATTGGAAATCTATATTTGTGTATATAGATTTTTGGCTTCTTAAGGCTGAAAGTCACAAGTTACTTTCCTTCATAGAAAAATCCAGAAAACTTTGCAGTAGAAACAATCCCAAATTCATTATATCGTTCACAGTTTTTGATCATATTTTGTAACATATAAAACTGCTAGTTAATTTTTCTCTGTTCCAACCCGTCGGATGTCTGAAAAATTATATTGTGACATATTGTGTATTGTGATAATTTCGAGAAGTATGACAATATTATATTTTTGCCATATCGCCTACCTCTAAGAGCAAGAAAAGACTCATGAGGCATTCATAGAATCATAAATCCTTTTCAACTTTTCTTGTTATTCACTAATCTAAAGTCCAGTACGAAAAGATCAGACTTGTATGGTCGTAAAAATATTATATTTGTGTATATAGTATTTACCCATTAAAATCATAGTATTTACAATTGACCCTGCGATGGACTTGCGACCTGTCCAGGGTGTTTCCTGCCTTCCGCCCGATGACTGCTGGGATAGGCTCCAGCTCCCCCCCTGCAACCCAGAAGGATAAGCGGTTTAGAAAATGTGTGTGTGTTTATTTACTATTGAGTACACATCTGGATCTATATTTTGGAAATAACATATTATCATGCAACAATGTTAAAGGTAGTCTTTATTTTTCTTGCAATGAAAACTGAAAAGTCAGAAAAAAGGTACAAACAAAGGGAGCTGACACATTGTTGTACCATAATATGACATTTTTTTTTCTATTCATGGTGGAGAGGTACATGCTTGAAACTTAAGGCAAAATAGTGCCCAACGGAAACATTTTTATTAAAGTTTATCACTATTTTCCCATTATCAGCATTACATATTAAAACTACAGAAGACATATGTGGGTTCGCTGGTGTCAGAATCAGCAGAGTTAAATTTAGCTAAACTCTAAAAAACATAGTTCTTCAAGGGTTCATCGTTCTATTTAGAACCATGAGTTCCATATGGAACCACTGCATGCTTAAATAGTTCTTGCATGATGAAAAAATGGTACTTCAGGTTGACAGAGAATGTGTTGTATATGGTTCTATACAGAACCTTTTTGAAAATGGTCCTATATAGCACCAAAAATGGTTCTTCTATTGTTACATGCCTTTTTAAAGAGCGCAGTTTATATTTAGCTAGATACAGTTATAAGTCATTTTAAGGGAGACTTTTATGTCTATAAGACAAGTTGGTAGAAAACTATAAAATGATGTCACTCAACTTACTATCAAAATATAAACCGAGAGCCTATCACAGTGTAGATAGCTGATCTCTCATTCGTGATTGGTCGATGACGCTATCCTCCCGCCCACTGTGCTAATTCAGGCCTGCGGTGTCAGTGCAGTATGTTGAACGTGGTCCATAGCTGGAACCTTCCGGAGCGATTCGTCAGCGTCTAAAGTTACGTCTTCGTCAGACCCGCGACGAGTCTAGTAGTTCTAGAAACAACATGGAGTGTATAAAAGTAATGGAGCTTCACTCTGCGAGGCAGACGAGCACAGACGACTCCAACCACACGAGAGGCAACGAGGACTTGAGGAGAGTCCAGTCTCAGAAACGCGAGAAGCCCCACTACAGCCGAACTGTAAGTCCCTCTGGATTTGCTTCATTTTAGCTGTAGTCCGAGACTGCAAGTCAGGTGTAGTATTAACATGACAAAGTATTAAAGTACTTGCAGATTTTATAGCATTAAAATGTAGCATTACTTTACCATTTACATTTGAGAATAATATGATATTAAAGAGGAATTCCACTATTAAAAAACTGCTAATTAAATGGTTAAGATGTAAACAAACTCATTCAGAATGGTTTGATATGAAACGTATGTGGGAAGAGTGCAATACCTTTAAAAGCTCCCTCACAAGCTATTACATGAAGTGGTTATGAATATGTTGCCTGATTCCTGAGACATTTTTTAATGCAAATCATTGGTTAACAAAATATGATAAATTAAAAATATAGAGTAAATATGAATGACAGAAAATACATTCTATAAAAGCATTAAGAGAAAGTAGGGCTGTGCAATATGACAGTATCTATCATTATTGTGATGAATGATGTCACAGTACAATACACTTTTCTGGACGTATCATCTATATCATCAGTACTATCAACTGCCTGTTTCTTTATAAAGAGAGCAAAATTAGACTGTCTAACTGGATTGCAACACAACTGGAAGTGCAATACAGTATGCCAAATACTGAATAAAAATCATTGTGTTCAGAGTTTTTGATAGTGTGTTTTAAAATGTAGCACTATTGGTTCTTTTTTGTCTGTTCCAACGGATCAGATGTCTATAAAAATAAATATCATGACGTCATGTATCATAAAAAAAATTCTTGAAGTGTTGCAATATTGTATTTTTGCCATATCTCCCACCTCTAAAAGCAAGAAAAGACTCATGAGGCATTCATAATATCATAAATTGTAAGTTTTTAAACTTTTCATGTTGTTCACCAATCTAAAAGTCCAGTAAAAAGAAATCACACTTGGATATTGTCAACAAATTTATTATTTTTGTATATAGTATTTACCCATTAAAATCATATTGTTTACAATGTACTCCACATCTGGATCTGTATTTGAGAAATAACATTATCATCAAACCACTCTGAATTATACAGAAATATAGAGAAATCAGTGGAATTGAACTTTAAGCAAAATCCCAGCACTACTTCAACTTCTTATATGTTATGCAGATATATAGAAAATTAAGCAGTGTGTGACAAGTATGCGAATAGAGTTATACAAAACAAATAATTGGAAACTGTCTATTTGGTCAGCGTACATTATATGGTGTCATTTGTGTATATTAGAGCTTTTACTCAGAGCACATTTTAAAAACAGTTACAGTATTCTACTAGTGTATGATATACCAAATATGTGTTTTGTTCTTTGACTTACAGGTTACACATAATAAACCATCAGAATGTCTAAAGGAGTATCCATTGGAATCGACCTGGGAACTACTTACTCCTGTGTGGGTGTGTTCCAACATGGGAAAGCTGAAATCATTGCCAATGATCAGGGCAACAGAACAACTCCAAGCTACGTCGCCTTTACAGACACTGAGAGACTCATTGGAGATGCTGCCAAAAACCAGGTTGCCATGAACCCCAACAACACAATTTTTGATGCCAAACGTCTGATTGGTCGAAAGTTTGATGACCCTGTAGTTCAGTCTGACATGAAGCTCTGGCCCTTTAAAGTGATCAACGATGGCAGCAAACCAAAAGTCCAAGTGGAATACAAGGGGGAGACGAAGACATTCTACCCAGAGGAGATCTCCTCCATGGTCCTGGTCAAAATGAGGGAGATTGCTGAGGCCTATTTGGGTCAGAGAGTCACCAATGCTGTCATCACAGTTCCAGCTTATTTCAATGACTCACAGAGACAGGCTACCAAGGATGCTGGAGTGATTGCTGGTTTGAATGTGCTGAGGATCATCAATGAGCCAACCGCAGCGGCTATTGCCTATGGGTTGGACAAGGGCAAGAGAGAGGAGAGGAATGTCCTGATCTTTGACCTGGGCGGAGGCACTTTTGATGTGTCCATCCTGACCATAGAGGATGGTATCTTTGAGGTGAAAGCGACAGCTGGCGACACTCACCTGGGTGGGGAGGACTTTGACAACCGCATGGTCAAACACTTTGTGGAGGAGTTTAAGAGAAAGGCACAAGAAAGACATCAGCCAGAACAAGAGGGCAGTCAGGAGGTTGCGCACAGCCTGCGAGAGAGCAAAGAGAACCCTGTCTTCTAGCACTCAGGCCAGCATTGAGATCGACTCCCTGTTTGATGGCATTGATTTCTACACTTCCATAACTAGAGCTCGCTTTGAGGAGCTGAACTCTGAGCTCTTTAGAGGCACCCTCGAACCAGTAGAAAAGGCTCTGAGAGATGCCAAAATGGACAAGTCCCAGATTCATGATATTGTCTTGGTTGGCGGATCCACAAGAATCCCCAAGATCCAGAAACTTCTGCAGGACTTCTTCAATGGCAGGGACCTCAACAAGAGCATCAATCCAGATGAAGCAGTTGCTTACGGTGCAGCCGTGCAGGCTGCCATCCTCATGGGTGACACCTCCGAAAACGTCCAGGACTTGCTGCTGCTGGACGTTGCTCCGCTATCACTGGGCATCGAGACCGCTGGAGGAGTCATGACTGCCCTCATCAAACGCAACACCACCATCCCCACCAAACAGACACAGATCTTTTCCACCTACTCAGACAACCAGCCAGGTGTGCTGATCCAGGTCTATGAAGGTGAGAGAGCCATGACTAAAGACAACAACCTGCTTGGCAGGTTCGAGCTCACAGGTATCCCCCCAGCACCACGAGGCGTACCCCAGATTGAAGTGACTTTTGATATCGATGCCAACGGTATCCTGAACGTGTCTGCCGTGGACAAGAGCACTGGCAAAGAGAACAAGATCACCATCACCAATGACAAGGGTCGTTTGAGCAAAGAGGAGATTGAGAGAATGGTGCAGGAGGCGGACAAATACAGGGCTGAGGATGAGATGCAGAGGGAGAAAATTGCAGCCAAAAATAATTTGGAATCCTATGCCTTCAATATTAAGAACAGCGTCGAGGATGAAAAGCTTAAAGGCAAGATTAGCGAGGATGATAAGAAGAAGGTCATTGACAAGTGTAAGGAGGTTATCACATGGTTGGAGAACAATCAGCTGGCTGAGAAGGAAGAGTATGAGCATCACCAGAAGGAACTGGAAAGTGTCTGTAATCCCATCATCTCTAAATTGTACCAGGGAGGAATGCCTCCTATGGGCGGCTGTGGAGCTCAGGCAGAGTCCAGTGCACAGGGCCCTACCATTGAAGAAGTGGATTGAAGATGATGGGAAGTTGACTGACCTAGAAAGTTGATTAAATTATATAAAGTGCTTTGGTACAAACCAAATGGTGTGGTCTATTTTGGAAGTGTACAAGTGAGCACATCTTGCACTGTCATACATTTTGTGAACACTTTTTATCTCTGTACTGTCTTATCTGCCTGTTTTTATATTACTTTATGATTTAAATAAAATAATGGATACAAATATTGCTTCTCTTTCTTGTAATTGAATTCAATTGATGTACATGTAAGAAGACATAACAAGTGTAAGCCCTACCATCTGCAAAAGGCCCAGGTGTTAAATCTTTACTGTGTACACTAGATGGCATTGCAGGACTACTTGGACAAATGGTCATGGCTTAATTTGAGAGTCATAGGCAAGTTTAATATGGAACCATAATTCTCCACTAACAGCTAGAACTTTCAGTATTGATATATAATTAAATGTGAATCATACTGAGTTGCCTACAAAGAAGATTAATTTAAGTCTGTTAGAAAAAAAAGGTCAATCTAGGCCTACATGATTCTTGGTGCCAGTCTATACAGAACATGTTCAGAACATTTTGGCTATTTCACATGAGGAGTACTAAACTGTTTTGCCGTTGCAGGCCAAGAACATTAGCTGAAACATTAGCTGAAAGTGAGTCACAATATATTTTCACAGAGCAAGAAGACAATGAACTGGTCTATGATTGCACCAGCTGCGCAAAACTCACATTACTGTCAAAATAGAGGTCACTTGTCAAGCCAAACAGGAAGATATGACGAGCTAAATCTGGCCCATGGGCCACATAATGGGTAGCACAACACGATATATCTAAAACTGGTCCTTTAAAAGGGCTGTTCCTTACCACTTCTGTGCGGCTCTCCCAATAATACAAAAGAAAACTAGATATAGAAATACATAAAATACACAACATATGTAGTAATAAAAGAGGCATACTGGTGGTTCTGTACATTTACATTGTAAGGATTGAAGTGTCAGGTTAAAAAGTACGTTACAAATTACATAAAATATGTACAACTGAAGAAGTGAGCAGTGGATATATACTTTATAAATTTGTAATGTATTAGTGTGTGCGCAACTGATTACACAAGATGGAAGTGTGAGGGGTCATTATTAAGGAGGATTATGGCCACAGCAGAGTTTCTGAGGAGATTAGTTATAAGATCATAAGAAAGGGGAAGGTCAAATAAAAATAAGTGGAAAAATCAAGAGTTTCCAAAACCAGAGTTTAGAAAATGATTAAAAGAGAAAACAGGACTCCTAACAAATGTGCAAGATCTAAAAGACCACCAAAACTGCTCCTGCTGAAAGCTTTTATCTTTGAGACAGAGGAGAAAATCAAACTCCACTCTTGCTTTAGTTTTGAAAAAAATCCACAGGTGTTTCTGTCCATCCCTCCACTGTGAGAGTCTGAAAGGAGGTGTAGCTGACAAGTTCTCACGAGAATGGACTGAACACCCCAGAATCCAACCCCAACATCACTAAATGTGTACTTGGATGGCAGGAAGAAGAAAATACAACCAATTTCTAAGACTGTACTTAAAATATCCCAGCAGAATTTTTGGAACTGAAAGCAAGTCTGAAAAGAATGGAAGCTGTAGGAAAGACAAAAGGTAGACACATTAAGAATTAATAAAATATGATATTATATTTAGTTGTTTAGAGTATTTTTTCTGTTTTTGATTCGGACACTGAAAAATGATTAACTTGTAGTTAATGACCATTTTGACTGGAAATAAATAAACGAAGAACTCTCTCTGACTTTTATAGCTCTTTATAGATAATTATTAAATAGATAATAACCACAACTTTATGTACCTTAAATGCAGATCCTTCATTTCCTTTGTATCAATACTTCAGTCCTGATTTTAATCATTGGGCTTGTGTTCGCAGTCTAATTTTCATGAAGCCACAGTGCAGAGCATGAGATACAACTCTAAAGAACAGAAGCAGGGGGGAGGTCTAAAAACTGCATCTCTGCTTACTCAGTGTCAGACTGCTCAGTGAAACACGGCGTTCGTGGCAGTTTGGCCTTAATTTAAGAGCAGTTTACTCAACATGGAGGCAGCATCCTGCGTTTGGCACTTCTTCTCTCTTTGGCTGCAGCAGGGAAAGAGTTAACGCGCCGATCCGTCCCCCTGGGTGCTGGTTGGGTCGCCTGACTGTGCTGAGGGAGGATACTTGAGGAGATGCAACAGATCTTTTCCCAACAAACTGCCATCGTCTCGTCCTCCACCGGCAGAAAAATGATGGATTTTTCTAATTTACGTTGACGACGTCCTTTCTTTCTGGGTCTGTAGAGACGCTATTTTCCTTCAAACTTCTGTTCATCTGGGTGCTATGCGGAGATAATGCGAGCGCAGGTGAGGTGAGAGTACTGTATGATTTTTGTCTGTGTTTAATGTATGAAGTTAGATACTTTAAGATACTAAAAGAGGAGCTTTAATGTTAGCGTATGACGACACTTCAACTTTCTGGCTCATATCTATGCTGTCCTTAGGACGCGCAAAACTACATGATGGAGCTTCTGCGCTGAAGGTCGTGAAAAATCCCCCCTAGACGCTCCTCCTATGCAGCCGCCTGGAACTTAATGTAATGTTATCGCAGTAATTCGAAATTAAAGGACAAGTTTCCAGCCGCTTCCAGCTCGTCCCTCTGCTTTGGTCTCAGTCGTCTGGAGAGCATCAGGTGGTTCTGTGTCGTGTCCCCCGCGGCCCCCCGGCACCCATGTGGCTCTGCTGATCGCACCATGCTGAGGCTCGTCACGGCGCCCGGCTCCTGTCGCTCGTGCAGATGATAGACGTTGGAAAGCGCAGACGTTTCGCCATCGGCCAGCGGCCCGCCCGTCCAAATCTATGATCAGCTCGGTGTGTGTTTCGTCTTACCGCGGGCGCAAGTCAGGCAACAAACCTCCGTCCAAAACATGTCTGAAGGAGGAGATGGCCAGGGCCGAGGACTCGGAAAAGATCATCCTCAACGTGGGCGGCACGCGCCACGAGACATACAAGAGCACGCTTAGGAGCCTGCCGGGCACGCGGCTCGCGTGGCTCGCCGACACGGACGCCACCACCGCCACCACGACCAGCACCACGACCACGACCATCACGACCACAGCCACCACCAACAACCCCACCACCACCACCGCAAACGAGTTCTTCTTCGACCGCCACCCGGCCATCTTCGCCTACGTGCTCAACTACTACCGCACGGGCAAGTTGCACTGTCCCGCCGATGTGTGCGGGCCGCTCTTCGAGGAGGAGCTCGCCTTCTGGGGCATCGACGAGACGGACGTGGAGCCATGCTGCTGGATGACGTACCGGCAGCACCGCGACGCCGAGGAGGCGCTCGACATCTTCGAGCCGCCCGAGCCCGACAACGACGCCGACGACGACGAGCGCCTGGGCATTGAGGACGCGCCCGAGCGCGCGCGCGGCCGCTTCGTCGCCTGGCAGCCCAAGATATGGGCTCTCTTCGAAGACCCCTACTCCTCTCGAGCCGCAAGGGTAAGTCAGCAAAAAAAAAAGAAAAGAAAAGAAAACAGTGAAGGACAAAACGTGGGAAAAGTTCCCGTTACGCTCGCGAGCAACAGGTGCCATGTTTAGAACCATGAGTTCTGTGTAGAACCACTTCATGCTTAAGTGATTCATTGCATGGTGAACTGGTTCGGAGAATATGTTGTAAATGGTTCTAAACAGCACTAAAAAGGGTTCTGCTGTTATGAAGTCAAGCATTTAACAACAGAAGAACCCTTTTTGATGCTAGATAGAACCATTTAAAAAAAAATATATATATATATACTAAGCCATCAGTCTAGAAAACCAGTTAAGCATGAAGTGGTTCTATATAGAACTCATGGAACCATCTTTTTCAAGTGTGTAGACATAGTAGACTAATAGCGGTGTTATATGCAACAGGTTACCCTTAGAAGTGTTGGCTGCTAAACAGATCTGTGAACAAGTTTTTGAGTTGAAGGGTGACTTTAATGCAAACACAGTTCAGCAAAAACTATTTACAGCAGCTGGACGGAAAGCAGGCAGAGACAGATGAGCTGTCACCGGAAAAGTCAGATTCCACACAGTTGCATTGTGAGCTGCCTTAAAGCAGTTAAAGTAAGAGATTTTTATTATACACAGAATAGAACATCTATTGTCAATAATCATATTATAAACTAACACACAGGCTCATAAGTAGTGCACACAGATTCATATGATAAGTAATGTACGTAGGTTCGTATTATAACAAAATCTTTCCAATGTGTCCATGATGGCATCATTCTGTCTACTTTGTAGATGTTAAAACAGATACTTGATAACATTTGCTATTATAATCTAATAGTACACTCTTAGAAAACAGTTTAAGGGTTCTTTAGTAAAGGCAATGATTATAGCGCCGTGAACACATTTGACATGCATAAATGGTTCTTTGCATGACTAATGCTACATTTTCCTTGTATTTTATTTTTTCCCTTTGATGTCAACGTACAATATTTGTGTGGGTTTATTTACCAAAAATGGTCATAATTCATTTTCTCTTTACCATTTTCCATCCTCTCTTTATCCCTTAGAATGAAACAGGCAGTTTTTGTTACTGTGCCTATAAGACTATTATATGTAAATGAGCTCTGTTCTGACTGGCTGCTTTGTATTGTGCTGCTTTCAAAAACCACTCAGAGCTGAAACGTTCCCTAAAACTTCAACATGAATGGGCGGGGCTAAACTGCTATAGGCAGTTCTCCTGATGTCCATTGCTGTCACACAAATGGAACAGCAATGTTTGAATTAACATTGCTGTTCCATTTGGAACATTGACAGTGTTTTCATATTACTTTAAACTGCACTATTTAAAAAAACAAGGGAAATCTGGTTTTCCATGATATGCACCCTTTAAATGGTCCTTCTATATAATGGAAAACGTTTTGTGAAGAGCCATTTAAAAAAATAGTTCTTCATAGTTCCAAAAGGGTTTTGCTATTGTTATAACTCATACAACCTTTTTGGCACTGCATACAATCCTGCTTTGCCGTGTGTGTATAATAACAATATAGTATTGTGGGCACTGACTAATATTAACTAATATATCCTGACTAGTGTTCAGTATTTGGGTATTACCACACTCCAGAATGCACAGTAGTCCATGTTACAGGTGAGATGACATTATACCATTTTAACTAATAAAAGATGCCTCATACAAGATATGGTCATTATTTTCTTGGATCTCAAATATTGTTACTAGTTGATAAGGGAAATTCTGATAATCAGCCCATAAATGTCATATCTGTACAGGCCTAAAATGTGCACAATTATCATACAATTTATACAGTTTTAAAAGATTCAGAATCATCTTCAGTGTTTACACAGAATGCTGTTCATATTAAAGGATTTTTGTTGTGCTATCTACAAGGTAAAACTGATGTCAGTGTGTAGAAATGCTTGGAGAAGCCATTGCACTGGCCTAAGGCTGGGGCACGGAGCTCTCTCCTGTGGTAAATTAAGGAGTTTCCACTTCACCAATCGACTTTCTGCTGAGTGAGCCACGGGCATTCATATGCCTGCAAAGGGCAGCTGTGAGTGACAGAGAGAGAGAGAGAGCAAGAAAAGAGAGCAAGATAGGCCCCGTAGTGTGTGTAATGTGCCTGTGCTGACACCTCTGAGTCTATCAGATTGAGACGAGCCAGAGCTGTCACAGGATGGCCTCTACAGTTGCTGTGGTGATGTAAATCATTGCCACTGACTCTCGCCATAGTTTTTCTAGTTTTACCTCTACCTTTGTACATTCCTGTACACTGTACAATCCCTATAGCTCAGTACAATGTCTTTTATTCAGCAATGACATAAGTCAGCTTGTCAGTTTGGATGACAAAGAATACCTCCCCCAGACATCTCTCTCTAAAATTAACATCAGTCACATATAATACTATGGGTACTATTGTAAGACTCGACAATGAGTAGATGGCATGCTTTGTGGCCCGAAGGAATCTTTTTCTTATGCGTTAGTGTAATTGCTTGTAAAATTTTCATTACCAGTTGAGGTGTTTTGCTTCCTGAATCAGATTTCCTGTGGGTTATTAGCATGCTCCACTGTTTGTGTGTAGCTAATGGATTCACGTCAAAGACACTGAGCACACTGAGGCAAATTTCTAGGTTGGATTCTGTTGCAACAAATTGCATTGCATCAATGCAAGCTGGTGCATAAAAGACAAAAGAAGTAGACTAAGCTTGGGTGAGAGAGCTTTTTATTGAGCATACAAACGGATTTTACTGCTGAGAGTTTGATATTTTGGATCTAATTTAAATAGGAAATAAATCACTCCCCTGTTTGAAAAATATATTAAAAAATACATTTCCAGTCAAAATGGAGACAAGTTATTCAGGTGTGTCAGGAGGAAAAGCAAAAAAAACATAAATTTACACAGAGGCCTCAACAGAAATTTGCAGAAACATAAATTTACACAGAAGCCTCAACAACTAAATATATATTTTTTCAGGACTTATTGTTATTGCATTACATTAGAGGTGCCCAGTCCTGGTCCTGGAGATCTACCACCCTGCAGAGTTTAGCTCCAACCCTAATGTAACACACCTGATCCAAGTTATCAAGGCCTTCAGGGGCATCTGACTATATGAGCCAGGTGTGCTGGATCTGAACTCTCCAGGGTGGTAAGTAACAGCTTCTTGACAGCTACACATACTTTCAGACTCATAGTGTTGAGTTGTCTTCTCAGAGTAGAAGGATGGACAGAAACACCTGTGGTTTTTCTCAGATCTGAAGAAGAGTGGAGCTTGATTTTGTCCTGTCACTCAAAGATGAAAGCTTTATGTACTGTTTAAACTCCTGTGGTGATCCTCTGACTTTTGCACAATATATTATATCTCAGGCGTATTATTCAGTAATGCAACGTGGCTGAGTTATTCTTAAGTTTATTAACTCTTCTAGACCCACGGGTTTGTCCTGGCGATTTAAGGGGTTAAAGCACATTAAATATAATGCATCCCACCATCTCCTCTTTCTGTGTTTCTGTCTCAGCAGTCAGCAGTGCTTCACCTGAACACACTTGCACACACATTTGCACCATTGCTTCGCAATCACTCCCACCTCCCTCTGTTTTTCTTTCTCTAATTAATTTAGATGGGCATTGTGTGAGCAAGCATGACAGTCTAAAGCAGAGCTGAGCCCTCTTGAAAAACAGGTAATCAGGGAGAGGGGGAGAGAGAGAGAGAGAGGGAGAGAGAGAGAGAGAGCCAAAGCTGATACACTCTAACAAACACTGCTTCAGATAAAAGCTCTTACAATATATAAACACCAGTGCATTCTAATCTCTCAGTAAAACCAGGGAACAGATGTACCTCACATCCTGCCTGGGTCCAGTCTGGATGCTTTGCCTACTGTGGTCTCTGGCCCTCTCGTGTTCACTGCTGGCGCATTATGGGCCAGAGGGCTCATGTTTCCTGAATAGCTGCTTCTCTGGCTGACTAATGCTGTTAGAAACAGAATTCAGGAGGTTAATCAGTCTGTAAGAAGTGTCGTAAATCAGAGGAGAGAGAGGAAGAGAGAGAGAGGGGGAGAGAGAGAAAAAAAGACCTGCACACATAGGAGGTAGGGAGGATGGTGAAAAGCATTATCGCTTGATTTTTACCATTTTATAAAGAAGGTAGTTCTTGGTTTGGAAACAAGGTTCTAGGGAAAAAAAAACTTTTATTGGTATAGAACCTTGACATTAAAGGCCAAGATTCCCAGAGTGGAGATTTTCCACTGAAAGGGAAATACAGTCATACATAAAAGTTGGTACATGTTTTTTATGTGTTATAAACTTAAATCCAACACATTTTAGTGCATAATTGTTATGAATTTGAGTAAACAAACGATAAAATGTGCCATAACTTATGCACAGGCCGCATTTCATGTTTTTGTTTTCCTAAATATGTTAAGTTCAGCAAATAAACAGTAATTGTGCATTAAAATGTGCTGAAGTGTGTTCTGTAGAGAATGTGTTTAATCTTAATCTTTACCAGGGGCGCCGAAAAATGTTGCATATGACTGTATAGTTCAGGACCAGGTTTAATCCCTGTCCAGAAAACTAGCCCTATCTGGAGGCTGTTGAAACTTTAAAAAGGTTCCTCACACTGAAACATCTTCAAATTAAAGAACCATCCACTGAAAGGGGCCAAAGGTGGTTCTTCTATGGTGTCCCTGATACCTTTATTTTTAATAGTGTAGATATAATAGCCAATCACAGAGCACTCTCTGCTCTACCAGCCAGCAAACTACTCTAACATTAAACTCTGTTTTCTGTACCATTGTCTATGACTGTTACTTCAGGATCATTTGTTTCTGCCAACGTGCACATCCTGTGATTTAGATGTATGATAAAAGTCACAGCTCCAGATGTTCTCCCCACAATATTAACTGTAACGTTTTAAACCACATTCTGTGAGTCATTCTATAGCACGTGAATTAGATCCACTTTGATAGCTTGTACTTCAGAGACTGACTACACGATTATTTG